CTTCATATTGGAAGATGTAATCTTGTTATTTTATACAAGTATGAAAGTTGGAAAATTTTTATCATTAGATGGTTAATTTATTTTTCCAACTCCCATTTGTCAAATCCATTATTAATTTGCATTTTTGTTAAATTAATTATGGATGTAGCCCTTCAATTTTGTTGCATCAAGTTAGACCTAAAATTGATTCAAAGAATGGTTCTTGATAAACTTAGGCTTGTGCACTATTAAAATTGAATTTATTTAAGTTAGACTTGTTATATTTTCACTTTGCTCTAAATTGATTCTAAAATAAATTTAGAATTAATTTCATCTCACACGAATATTGGGATTCAAATCCCGAGTCAAAAGCGCATGAATCAAGGCAAAAGACACCCAAGCACCACCAAGGCTAGCCGAGCTTCTCTCGCAGCCCACATGTGGCTGCCTTGGTACGCATGGTGGTGCTCCCACCTCTCTGTGTTGCTGCTGTGTGGGGAGCAAGCATAGTGCACCAAGCGTGCTGCTGTGTGTGGTGTGTGGCTGCTGGGCACTGCTCGCAAGTGCTGCTAGGCAGCGAGGCAGCAAGCCACAGCAGACCAGCCACACCTGCCAGCACATATGCGTGCATGCTAGCATGCAACCATGATGTGTGCTGGTGCTAGCAGGCGCAGTAATGTCGTGCTAGGCAGGCTGCTTGCGCCCAAGCACAACACAGCTGCAGCCATGATACTAGGCACTCGGTTTTGTGTGGGCTGTTTTTGGATGCATGGGCTATGTATTTTGCAAAAAAATTTTGCCGTTTTAAATAATTTATGTGATTATTTTAACGAGGTTAGACCTCGATTTTTCCGGCTTTTGCAAAATTTTGATTTTGACAAATTATCATTTATAGCGACTTAATTAATCGGATTAATTAAGTATGGATGCGGAATTTAGTGGGAGCTTAGTTGATTACTTGAGCAATTTGCTTTTAGAAATAATGGATTAAACAACTTTGACTAGTTTTAATTAGGCGCGTTAATCGGATTAACCACCTAAGTTAGTTACTAGTTTTGCGTGTTTAATTATGTATTTCGTAATATGCATGGGCCATTCACAAATAGTGAATGGGTGAATGGAAGATGTTTTCAAAATAGGTTATTGAAAATGGCAACTAGTGGGACCCGACTAGGATAGAAAATACGGACTGCGTTCCGTTATGTATATTTTGTAAATCTAAATACGGTCTGCAAACCATTAAGTATTTTTGTACTTTAGATTAATCTTAGTAGTAGTAGCTAGTTAATTTATTTTGGCAAAGATGTCTCAAGGCGGCGTTTCGATATAGACGAGCCAAGATGAAGACCCATGGAAATTGAAGATTTCAAGGGGTCATGCTAGTTGTCAAATGCATCAGTTTATGGTCTATATATATTATTGTTATATATGAATGTTAGATGCATGTCTAGGATTTCAAATGTTGCAGTGATTAGTTAAGTTCACTTAATTCAACCGACATAGAAACCCTAGGTCCCTTAATAATATTGAGCTAAAATTTGCCGTTCCAAAAACAACACTTACCGAACTAATGCGTGTATGTGATGGGCTACGCCAAAGCGAGGCATCACTACTTCCCTAGGAATGTAAGGTATACTAGGTATACAAGTTGTCTTGGTTAAGCTCAACGATATCAGTAAGGAGTCCTTAGATGTCGTGGCAATGGAGATAAAATGTCAAGGAAGCATTAGATGCGACGTTTTATCGAACCAAGAGTAGCTTGGAGCTATTAGCAATTGGATTGCTTACCCTAAAATATTAAGTGTTAAGACAAGCCAAAGCATGCTTAATCACTTTCTTATTTTTGGGATTTTGAAATCGTTTTATTCTCGCCTAAAAGGGATAATTTATAATGTGTGGATAAGACGCGTAATAAGATTGAAAGCTTGCATATATGGCTGTAAATTTCAAACTTATTATGATATTAACTTGATAAATGGTTATACTTTGCACTTATATTTGTAGAATTCGTAATCAAATTATATTGTTTCCATTGATTGGTAAAAGAAATATTTCGAGAATGGTTCTCGAAGAAAGAAAAGGGGCACTTCTAAGATACAACTTCTCATAAACGACTAAAGTCCAAAAGAACGGTTGGATATCATTTTTTCAGAATACTAGGTAGTTTTGACAAACAAGAAATATTGAGTTGAAAAACTCAAAATTTTCAATAGTTGACAAACCAACATATATTTTCACTTCATACGCTTATGAGTAGGACTCATTGATGAAGTAATTCAGGTACGAATTAGTTGAAAAGATAGAACTTTGTTTTGCGGCGCATTAGATGCTTAATTATGCCTAACAAAGTATAAAAGTCGAGGAACTTACAGAAATGATTCTTAAAGTGATGAGATGATGTACTATAAGAAATATAGGAAACAAGGAACAAAGAAAAGAATAAGATTCCTTTTCCACACTTGAGTTCATGTTATTATGGTCAACTTAGCAACTCGTTATCTTCACAAGTATTGGATACTACTTGAGTGTTCCACTTTGAAATTGACCTCAAACTATTGAAGACAAGCTAAGTTATTGACTTACAAGCATTGAATGAAGCAAGTAATGCTACATCAGTTGTAAGGTCACTTATTTTGTTTAAAGTCCTTTTAAAACTAAGGCTGGAACGAGTAATGGTTATTGTGTTCCATAATCAGCAAACGATCCGTTTACACACGGAAAGACTCACATTCAAAAGTAAAAGCAATAGTGATAGGGTCATAAAAATACAATATTTTATTTATTAAACTTTTGATTTTATATTGGTGTTTAATGATATAAAGGTATATTAAGTGATTTTCTTCCGAGACATGAGTTACTACTATCTGTTTCTTTTATTGTTTGTAGGAAAGAAAATATCGGTGTTAATTTATATTTAACGTCACTCCGATAAAAAGAAGTAAAGCCCACAAGCCAGATGGACTCTTATGTTTCAAGCTGAATGATATAAAAGAGCTACATTGATTCTGAAGATAAGTCACAAATACATCCTTTGTCGATAAAAACTAGGACATCCAAGTTCATTCTTTCCCGTGGAACCAAACAACAAACTATGGTGCCTTTGAGCGAGATTTTTGGTTATCAAGTTCCTTCTTTGGTACGGAGATATATTATACATTGGAATATTGCGTTGTGAGAACAAGAAGGTGATAATATAATAGTATTATGTTTAGTTTTTGATTGGTTTGATATTCTGTTTTATTGGTAGGAATTAACGGGTTATATTATAGACCGGCCATTGTTAGTATAACTTGTTAGTTTAATTGCTAAAGTATTAATGTGTGATACGTAATTGTCCGGGTTAGTACTCATTAGTAGCACTTAGGTATTTGATAGGTGACTAAAACTTGTCCAATATCTATGATTAAAAACCCTTTAAGTTGCATGAATCCGAGCTTCTGAGATTTGTGGCTTAAGTTAGCTACTTCCTAGTTATCAATACTGCTAATCAATCGAGTCTAGAGAGCATGTTCTAGATTGTTAGTTAGTTAGACAATACACCAAGAGCTTGTTTGGTTTATTTGAAATTAAGGGAAGTGTTGAATGCTTGTTTGTGTTCATCGGCTATCATTGAGATAAGAACATAATTTTTATAATTCGATGATCAATAAATACTCCAATGCTATAATATGTCTCCCGATCCCTGTTTTATTATTATTGATTTTTATCATATTTCAATTTTAGTAGTCTATCTTTCGTACTTTATTCGTCCTATAGTTCGTAGTAGTTTATTTATTAGATCGTAGTACTATTTCTTCAAAACAGGGGTTTCTAACATACACAAGTTATAATTTGATAATCCATTTCTCTGTGGGATCGACCTTAGCTTACCCTACTACATTTTTAGGATGTTAGAGTTGGGTTTATTTTTGGTAGACACGCGACAGTCATACCAAGTTTTGGCGCCGTTGCCGGGGAATTGGCCTTTTATTACATTATTACTTGTGTTTTTGCTAACTTTTCCTACTAACTTGTCATTTAGTTCCTTGTTTGTGCATGTGTGATAGAAAATTAAAACATCAAAGATTGAGAAATTTCGCAGTAAGGAACCAGGGACTTATAATTCATCCTTTTTCTACTCTTCCTATAGCTAAAAGGACTCGTGCTCATATACTGGAGCAAGCTTGTCATATTCCGTTACCTCACAGTGAAAGTTCATCTTCGGACGAGGAGGGTGAATATATTTTTGAGATGGGTGATCAAACTCTAAAGCAGCTGGCAGCTCCAACGTTTGATCCAAATTTATTGTGCATAGTAGACGATGAGGCAGAAATTGAGATCAAGCCTGGGTTGATTAGAGCTCTTCCCACATTTTCAGGTTTCCGTAATACTAACTCCTTGGGTTCAGTTCACATGAATGAGGCTAGCAGATTTTTGAAGGAATTTCACATAGCATGTGCGGGGATGAAACCAGCTGGTGTCACCCTCGACCAACTCAAGTTAAAGGCATTTCCTTTTGCCTTGTCTGATGCTGCAAAGGAGTGGTTATTTTAAGTACCTGCTGGAACCATCACAACATGGGATCAAATGCTAAAAGTATTCGCAGAAAGATATTTTCCAGCATCATTAATAGCCAATATCAGGAAAGAAATATGTGGAATTCGACAAGACGATGCAGAGACACTTCACGAGTACTGGGAGCGTTTCAACAAACTATGTGATAGTTGTCCAAACCATCAAATCACTGAGCAATTATTAATACAGTACTTTTACGAAGGACTCAGGGAGACAGACAGGAATCTAGTTGATGCAGTAAGTGGTGGAGCACTGGTTGACAAAACACCCGCAGAGGCAAAGAAACTGATTGCAAACTTGGCTGCAAACTCTCAGTATCGAGGAGGCCGAAATATCAAGTCCACCTTTGTACGTCAAGTTAATGAAGTGGTGATTCTAACCTTAAGCAACAAGTAGCTAAACTCACTTCCTTAGTGGAGCGAGTAATGATCGAAAAAGGGCAAGAAAAAGTATGTGGCTTTTGTTCAATGGTAGGACACCCAACTGATATGTGTCCTACTCTTCAAGAAGAAGAAGTGAATTCGATTGGTGGTGGTCAGGGGCAACAAAGACGTTATGATCCATTCTCTCAGACTTATAATTCGGGGTGGAGAGATCATCTAAACCGGAGATATGGTAATGCTCATCAGTAGGCAGGCAACTGTAACCTCAGACCACCAGCTTTCCGGCAACAACAAGCTTCTAATCCTCCACCTGGGTTTCATCAGCAACCACAATATCGACCGCGACCTCAAAATCAGCAAGTTTCCAGGCACAATCTGGTAGCATGTCTCTGGAAGATATTGTGAAGGCAATGGCTAACAACACTTTGCATTTACAGCAAGAGACAAGAAGTGGTCTAAAGAACTTGGAGAACCAAGTTTCTCAGTTAGCTAACACAGTGGGAAAGCTCCAAGCTCAGAACCCTAATAAGCTTCCGAGTCAGCCAGAGAGAAATCCAAAGGAGAACGTGAGTGCAATCTCCCTTAGAAGTGGCAAGCAATTAGAGGTTCTAGCAAAAAAGACTGAAGGGCTAGCAGCACACCAAGAGGAACAAGAGATTATTGTTCCGGAGCAAGATAAGAAACCCACTAAGGTAAGAGATGTTGTTTCTCCTAATACTGATCAATTTACTTCTTCTGTTCCATTTCCTAGCAGGTTATCATCTAAGAATAAGAAGAGAGAGCAAGAAAAGGAGAAAGAGACCCTGGACATTTTTCGCAAGGTTGAGGTAAACATACCTTTACTGGAAGCTATAAGACAAGTGCCGCGGTATGCAAAGTTTTTGAAGGAGTTGTGCACTAACAAGAGGAGATTGAGTGGAGATGAAAAATTCAGTGTAAGTGAGAATGTGTCTGCTGTTTTACAGAGGAAAGTTCCTCCAAAGTGCAAGGATCCAGGTATTTTTACTATACCATGTAAAATAGGTAACACGAGATACGATAAATGCATGCTAGATTTAGGAGCTTTTATTAATGTCATGCCTTTATATATCTATAAAGCTCTAAACTTAGGAACTTTGAAAGACACTCGAGTGATTATTCAGCTTGCCGACCGTTCTAATACATACCCTGTAGGAGTAGTTGAGGATGTTTTAGTGCAAGTGAATGAACTAGTGTTTCCTGCTAACTTTTATGTTTTAGATATGCCAAATGATGAATCCCCTAGTTCAGCACCTATCTTGTTAGGAAGACCTTTTCTGAAAACATCTAGAACTAAAATTGATGTTCACAGTGGGGTGTTGACCATGGAATTCGATGGGGAGGTTATCCGGTTTAATTTATTTGATGCCATGAGATATCCCTCTTATTGTGAATCTGTTTCTAGTATAGATGTCATTGATGCACTAACTGAGCAAGTATTTTTTCTCTCTGGTCATGATAGGTTAGATGTTGTTTTGACAGCGCCGATGGAAAAAGAAAAGTATACTGACTTGCAGGAACATTTTGAGCTTAAGAGGGAAGTTAAGGAAGCTTTTTCCTCTCTGGAAATACTTCCCGATAAGCAATTAAGGTATGACAAATGGTTTATGTAGTTACCTGTCACTTCTAACAGATTGTTACCTTCTATTGTATAGGCCCCTGAAGTGGAACTAAAGCCACTGCCAGACCATCTCAAGTATGCATTTTTTGGAGAAAATGACACTTTGCCAGTCATAATCGCGAGTAATCTAACTCCGAATCAAGAGCAAAAGCTGGTGCATGTTCTGAAGGAGCATAAAATAGCTCTAGGGTGGACAGTTGCTAATATAAAAGGAATTAGCCCCTCTATGTGTCAGCATAGAATCTTATTAGAAGAGGGAGCTAAACCTGTGAGACAAGTGCAAAGGCGACTTAATCCACCTATGATGGAAGTGGTGAAGAAAGAAGTAATGAAGCTTCTTGAAGTAGGGGTGATATACCGTATATCAGATATCCCTTGGGTTAGCCCCTTGCAAGTGGTCCCAAAAAAATCAGGAGTCATAGTGGTAGAAAACGATAAGGGAGAAATGGTTCCCACCCGAGTTCAAAATGGGTGGAGACTTTGTGTAGACTACAAAAAACTTAATTCTATAACTTGAAAAGATCATTTTCCCCTACCTTTTATTGATCAAATGGTAGAGCGTCTTGCTGGTCATGCTTATTACTGTTTTCTTGATGGTTTTTCAGGATATGTGCAGGTCCCTATAAATCTGGAGGATCAAGAAAAAACGACATTCACATGCCCGTACGACACATTTGCGTATCGTCGTATGCCATTTGGACTGTGCAATGCTCCAGCAACTTTTCAGAGATGTATGGTAAGCATCTTTTCAGATTACCTTAAAAATTTCATAGAAGTTTTCATGGATGATTTCACTGTACATGGAGATTCTTTTGATAGATGTTTAGAACACCTCACTTTGGTCCTTGAATGTTGTCTTGAAACTAACCTTGTGCTTAATTCTGAAAAATGTCATTTCATGGTTCAACAAGGTATAGTTTTAGGCCATATTGTATCGTCTGAAGGAATAAAAGTTGATAAAGCTAAAATAGATCTTATTTCTTCTCTGCCTTACCCCGCCTCTGTGCGGGAAGTTCGATCTTTTCTTGGCCATGCAGGGTTCTATCACAGGTTTATTGAAGGATTCTCGAAGATTGTGCAACCACTATGCAAACTACTCTAAAAGGATGTGGAGTTCCACTTTGATGAGGCCAGTAAGCAGGCATTTGACAAGCTGAAAGACAAGTTGGTCACTGCCCCTGTTCTACAACCTCCTAACTGGGAGCTCCCATTCGAGCTGATGTGCGACGCTTCTAATTATGCTGTAGGGGCAATGCTAGGCCTTCGAGTTGGAAAAGTTCCCTATGCCATCTACTATGCCTCGAGGACTTTGGATGCGGCTCAAGCTAATTATACTACAACTGAGAAAGAACTTTTAGCTGTAGTTTTTGCTTTAAACAAATTCAGGTCTTATTTATTGGGTACTAAAATTGTTGTGTTCACTGATCATGCAGCGCTGAAATATCTGTGGTCAAAAGATGTATCCAAACCTAGGCTAATACGTTGGATATTATTGCTTCAACAATTTAATGTTGAAATAAAAGATAAAAAAGGTTCTGACAATAGTGTTACTGATCATTTGAGCAGGTTAGTTATTGAAGCTGATGAAGGTAAAGTCCCAATCAATGAAGAGTTCCCCGATGAGCAGCTTCATGCCTTGAACTCACGAACTCCGTGGTTTGATGATTTGGTGAATTTTCTAGTATCAGGGAAGTTTCTAGCCAGCTACACCAAAGCACAGAAGGACTGAATGCGTAGTATAGCAAAATGCTACATATGGGATGACCCATACCTCTGGAAATAATGTGCTGATCAACTGATTAGAAGGTTTGTACCCGATTTTGAAATTCTTTCTATACTAACTTTCTGCCATTCTTATGCATGTGGGGGACATTTTGAACCAAAGAGAACCGCACGCAAGGTTTTAGAGAGTGGATTCTACTGGCCATCCATATTTAAAGATGCATACGAAATCTGTAAGGCATGTGATAGTTGTCAAAGAACAGGTACACTAGGTCCTAGGAATGAAATGCCCCAAACTCCTATCTTAATATGTGAAATCTTTGACGTTTGGGTTATGGATTTTATGGGTCCCTTCCCCTCTTCTATTGGTTTTCAATATATTTTTCTTCTTGTCGATTATGTCTCGAAATGGGTGGAAGCTATAGCCACCCATACTGATGATTCTAAAGTTGCAGAATTTTTGAAATCAAATATTTTTGCAAGATACGTATTCCTAAGAGGCATCATCAATGACAAGGGAACACACTTTTGCAATAAGACAATAGGATCTCTCTTGAAGAAGTATAATGTGTTTCATCGAGTATCCACTGCGTATCACCCACAAACAAATGGACAGGCAGAAGTTTCCAATCGAGAAATCAAGTCCATTCTAGAGAAGATTGTGAATCCAAATAGGAAAGATTGGAGTCTTTGCCTCAACGATGCTCTGTAGGCGTACAGAACAGCGTATAAAACTTCGATCGGAATGTCTCCTTACAGGCTCGTGTTTGGTAAACCTTGCCATTTGTCGGTAGAACTGGAACACAAAGCCTTTTGGGCCGTGAAACAATGCAATATGGAAATGGATGCAGGGGGTGAGCACAGAAAACTTCAATTGCAAGAACTGGAGGAAATTCGGAATGATGCTTTTGAGAATGCGAGAATGTACAAGGAAAAGAGTAAGGCATTCCATGATCAGCGTATCACACGAAAGACATTTACAGTTGGGCTGAAAGTTCTCCTGTATCATTCTCGACTCAAACTCTTTCTTGGAAAACTCCGTTCTAGATGGGTGGGACCCTTCGTTGTTACCAAGGTATATGACCATGGTGCGGTGGAGATTCGTAGTGAGGACACAGGGAAGGAATTCAAGGTGAACGGTCATCGAATAAAGCCTTACTATGAGGGTTATCAGGTCCAGAACCTTGAAGTGGTGGAGCTAGAAGCTCCACATTATGAAAACTAGTATGCTGGAAGACGTCGAGCTAACGACGATAAATAAAGCGCTCTTGGGTGGCAGCCCAAGCTTAGGAATACTTTCTGATAATAAATTTTTAATTAATTTTCTCGTCATTTTTTTTCAATTTTATTATTTTCTTTTAATAAAAAAAAATCGGCTTATAAACTTTCGGTTGCTCTTAATTTAAAGCCCTTTATACTATTCTGGAAACTAATTCTGCTTTGATTTGGTGTTGTATATATGCAAGGATAAAATTATTGGAGCAAAGCCATCTTGCTGGCGGTCTCAGAGTTGTGCAATATTCTTCTTGTAGCCAACATTACTATTGAAAATCGATGATGCGTTTATGAGCAACTTCAAGGTGTTTGTTGCTACACACATGACCATATTCAAGCTTGGGGGGATGCCATCAGGCTGGCTACACAATCAATACCCTACAATGTTCAACTCATCCGGTGAGCTCGTTTCCTTGTCTCTTTCTATTTTTATCCCTTAATTTTTTTTACAGTCACACATTGAGGGCAATGTGTGCATTAAGCTTGGGGGGAATGTATATGCGGGCTCTTGTGGTCTCGGGGTATGTCTCTGGGTATGGTATTGTAGTGAGTCTAATAATGAAATTTTGACAGTGCATTGCATTTGACCAGTACACTCACTCTACAATGCTTAACTTTGGTTAATAGACTTGTATATATGCAGAAAAAAAAAATTAAAAAATTGATTCTGTAAACAATAGCGAGCCTGGTGGAAGTCAGCTTGTGGTGGGGTAAAAAGAAAGAAATAAGTTAGGCATCAAAGTTTTACACCATATAAGCCTAAAAGCTTACCCATGACATGATCCATTATTAAACCCGATTTGAGCTATATAGACCTACTTTTCTTGGGAAATGTCTGAAACATGAAATATTTACCGATAAGATTAGTAGAGCACATTGAAGGGTGAATTGGATTATCTTTGTGGTAATGATGTAAATTGGTGGTGAAGTTTATAGTTTTAAAAGTTTCATGTTAAAGGCTCTACGTACCAATGTATGGGTTGTATATGTAAAAAAAAAAAAGAAAAAAAGAAAAAGAACCCATATAAGTATGTGTGATGTTTTATGTATCGTGATTGAGTAACTCGAGTTACTAAATCCGTAGGGGTATCTTAAAACCTAGTGCCTTGGGCCAACTGGACCGGGAGTCACTGGTTGAAAGCTCGCTACATGGGTTACATGACATGTACATGACATTAAGAGTCGTGAAACACAAGTAAAAAAAAAAAACCCGAAGTTTGAAGGGCCTGTGATATGAGTTCTTATATGGCGGTTGTGGTTTTGTATATGTGCTCTGCTAATCTTAATTCTTTTTCCCACATTCTAAAATGTTCTTTAAAACCTCACTTTACCTTGGCCCTGTTCTATCCTTGATTCAAGTCCTGAGGATCTTTGATTTACTTCACTACAGTGTTGACAGAAGGTAGGCTGTAATTGTTTTAAGAGTTGGTAATTGATTTTGTAATCATAAAATGATTTTCCTCCTGCATATATACTTGACTTGACGATGTTATTGAGCAAAGTAGAGTGATTATTATAGAATGCTTAGCTGGTTTTGACGTGCGTATATTACTTGGCTTGAAGCTGTTATAGAGCAAAGTAGAGTATTCTGGTTGCATATTGTTATGTCAAGAGTTTAACTCCTTTGTGATTTCATGTCTCCGCTTGAGAACAAGCAAAATTATAAGCTTAGGGGAGTTTGATAGGGTCATAAAAGTACAATATTTTATTTATTAAACTCTTGATTTTATATTGGTGTTTAATGATATAAAGGTATATTAAGTGATTTTCTTCCGAGACACGAGTTACTACTATGTGTTTCTTTTATTGTTTGTAGGAAAGAAAATATCGATGTTAATTTATATTTAACGTGACTCCGATTAAAAGAAGTAAGGCCCACAAGCCAGATGGACTCTTATGTTTCAAGCTGAATGATATAAAAGAGCTACATTTATTTTGAAGATAAGTCACAAATACATCCTTTGTCGATAAAAACTAGGACATCCAAGTTCCTTCTTTCCCGTGGAACCAAACAACAAATTATGGTGCCTTTGAGCGAGATTTTCGGTTATCAATTTATTCAACAAGAAAAGATAAACATGAAATCAGATTATTTGGGAGTTTATCTTCAGAGGTGTTGGCTGCAAAAATGGAGGAAGAAGATCAAGAAGATTTACATCTAAAGGCGTACTTTGGGGCGACATTCTAGAGGACAGCTTAGCTTTCTGGTAGGCATCCAAACGAAGGATATATCAGCTACATGGGTATTGCTTGTGGCGGTAATTCCATGATCCTTTTGGGAATTTCGGGGAAATTAGTTTCAATTATTAGATCAGGCGTTGGTTCATGAATTTGGTGGATTATTTACAACTTTTGCATGTATATTTCAATAGTTAGATTTGATAGTAATTGATTTTATTTTATGTTCTCTAGCACAGTAGTATTAGATTAAGAGGTGATTTCTAGTATTATTGGATTTATTCATTGGTTTATTTTTTTTTTTTCTTATTTTCTTTAAGCAATATGATTTTATTAGTTTTCCTTGTTATATTTTCCCTTTTCGGTATGTTAGGCTAGATTAGTCTTGGGTACGGAGATATATTATACATTGGAATATTGCGTTGTAAGAACAAGAAGGTGATAATTTAATAGTATTATGTTTAGTTCTTGATTGGTTTGATATTCTGTTTTATTGGTAGGAATTATCAGGTTATATTATAAACCGGCCATCGTTAGTATAACTTGTTAGTTTAATTACTAAAGTATTAATGTGTGATACCTAATTGTCCGGGTTAGTACTCATTAGTAGCACTTAGGTATTTGATAGGTGACTAAGACTTGTCCAATATCTATGATTATCAACCCTTTAAGTTGCATGAATCCGAGCTTCTGAGATTTGTGGCTTAAGTTAGCTACTTCCTAGTTATCAATGCTGCTAATTAATCGATTCTAGAGAGCATGTTTTAGATTGTTAGTTAGTTAGACAATACACCAAGAGCTTGTTTGGTTTATTTGAAATTAAGGGAAGTGTTGAATGCTTGTTTGTGTTCATCGGCTAACATAGAGATAAGAACATAATTTTTATAATTCGATGATCAATAAATACTCCAATGCTATAATATGTCTCCCGATCCCTGTTTTATTATTATTGATTTTTATCGTATTTCAATTTTAGTAGTCTATCTTTCGTACTTTATTCGTCCTATAGTTCGTAGTAGTTTATTTATTAGATCGTAGTACTATTTCTTCAAAACAGGGGTTTCTAACATACACAAGTTATAATTTGATAATCCAATTCTCTGTGGGATCGACCTTAGCTTACCCTACTACATTTTTAGGAGGTTAGAGTTAGGTTTATTTTTGGTAGACACGCGACAGTCATACTAAATAGTTGCTTGGTTTACTTGAATGACATGGTCGCATAAACCATGAGTCAAGAATACTTGATTATAAACAAACATTTCCCAACCATAAAACTCACAAAGTTCAAATCATGAACCTGAATTGTGTTCCAAACCCTTTAGCAATGTCACTAACAACAAGAACGTACTCAAGACTCTATTAGATAGAATCTTGATAGATGATCGATTTGGAATCGTTCTAAGACAAGCAAGTCTTACTTGTTGAATCGACAAACAAAGGAGCTATTGTGCTTAGAATAGACAATTGACTCCGAAAGCTAAAAGGAATTCATTACTTCAATGTCACACAAGAATTTGCAAGAATATGGCTATATTCATCAAATGTGAGCAAACTAGACCTTGAGTAGATCAAAAGTTCAGTGAAGCATAGAATCGACTTGGAAACATATCACAACGTCTATCTAGATTAGATCGAGCGATGTTTGCTTGAGCCAAGTGTGATCACATCAAACTCATGAAATTAAAATTTCACAATGAGCTCCACAAAGAACATAGTGTTTCTTGACGAAGACCTCGATGCCATTTGGAAATGACTCGAATGATGATGGATCACATCCCTTCCTATAAAGTTCTTAAAGATTTGCACAAAAGACTAAATGTTACACTAAACAAAAATGTCGAAGCTAAGAAAGGACACCATATTCAATAATGGATAGAAATAGTTTCTAGCGTCTTTTCAAGTATATGTCTAGGGCTCTTAGCTCAGTGGGAGTTCATTGACTCAGTGGGAGCTAAGTGGCTCAATAAGGGCTAAGATAGCTCGACAAGGAGCTAACTGTTTGTTTCATAACGAACTTTTACCCAAAGACAATATACATGTCTCTTTGAAAGTATTCAAGTGAGACTACGGGCATTACCTCCATAACCTAATTGAGAACATAGTATTTGTTGCTCTAAATGGTGTCTTTCTGGAAAGTAACACCTTTCCAAAATGACAAGTGGGAGGAAAATCGAACTCGACGAAGTTCGAGAGGATGAGCAACAGTGTCAACCTGATAAAATTGATAATCAAAATGCTTTAGAAGTAGTTGATAAGATTGGTCTAAATCAAACAGACAATGAAAATGCTCAACCTATTACCACGTATAGGTATAGAATTCACCAAAGGCTTGGATTGAATCCTATAAATTTCTACTAAGTTAGAAATAAACCTAAGACTTACAAGCATACTATTCACCATTGGATGGTGAGGGAATAGTGTCTTGTAAATTACCTACGACAAATCCAAGTTCCAAATAATGGTTAGAGACCATAAAATCTGAAATAAACTCCATGTTTGTAAATCATGTTTGGAACTTGATTCATTTGCATGAAGGGTAACAGACCCATCAATCGCAAATAAGTTTTCAAGGAGAAAACTGACAAATGTGGAAATGCATAATTATACAAAGCTAGATTGGTTGAAAAGGATACAATTAATTCACGGCGTTGATTTTAATAAAAACCTATTCACCAATTGGAACGCTAAAGTCTTTTCGTGATTATTCTAGCAAAATTGCGCATATGAAATATGGAAAAATACGAAACCGCCTTCCTAAAATTGGATTTT